CCCCAAAACCCCAAAACCCCAAAACCCCAAAACCCCTTATATAGGGTAAAAAGTTGATGTTATACAACATAATTATTTATAATGAAACCAATTCAAAAACCTTCTAAATCTTTCAAGATTGATGCTTCAGATATCTGGGACGACAGTGACCTGATTGTAAGCGAGGAGACTTCCAATAACATTACTCGTCAATCTCTCAATAAAACCAGACAGTTTAAAAACACTATGAAAAATAATAAGGGTAAGGTGAAGCCTGAGGACCTATCCGATTATGTACTTGAAAAAGGCCTTCACCAGTATTCATCTTCTGTTGATATCCAAATGGAATCATTTGATGATGAGTTTGAATCTGAGAGTGAAGAAGAAGCTCAAGAAAAGATCTTAAAACCTATGATCGTTCTTGAGAATGTTGAGAAAACTGCATGAACTATAAGGGAAGGCGCAAATATCCTTTTAAGCCTTCGGCAAATTCCTTCGAACGAATTGCTCAAAGTTATCCTTTAAACACTTTGAATGTTCGAGGCTAGCTTGGAAACAAGTTTTATAATTATAAATATTTTCTAATAATTTGATCCTTAAATCTCTATCGAATTCGGGCTAAGTTGGACAAAGTTTTGCTTATCATATTCCTGCTATTTAGTTTTTCTATAAATACAGAGATTCACCACTTCATACTTAAAAATTGACAGTTTCGCTTCTGAGAAATATTATCATACTCAATGAAGAATCTTCATAAATATAATAAAGGACGAAATAATCTTACAGGAGTTTCTAAATTCACTCTATGCTAACCCCTCCATGATCTAAGCCTTCTAAACCCATTTCCTAGCATGAATTTTCTGAAATCTTCATAAATATTAGAAAATCTACTCGGTTGTCAGAAATCATTTCACTAATTATGAATAAAAACTTTGGGCTTTAGGCTGGTTTAGAAGCCAGGAGGCTGGAGGCTTATCTGCACTGGTATTAAGCTGGGGTTTATGAGGAGGATTTAGTATATTGATCGATTATTTTGCTCAGTACCGAAGAAGATTTTTATTTTTACTGGATGTGAAAATGTTTCACATGATCTGGCTTGGTGTGAACTAATTAGATGTAATATTAGATGAGTTTTTATGGAGTTGAAGCAAAAGAGAAAAAACTAGATTGATTAGGCAAAAGATTTTGCTCAACAGAGAAAATTAACTAGGCCAAAGAGATGGCTTTAAAGAAAAACGAAACAAGATTAATTATAATAGTAGAGAACAACTTTTAATTAAATTTTAAGAGAGCTTCGAGATGAGTTAAGAAACACTATAAGTTAATAAATTACTCTTTGAGTTATTTTAGACAGTTTCTAGAAAGAATCCAAAACTCAATTCGAAACTATTCAAAACTAGAAGAATTTAGCCAAAACACCATCTACCCATATTTCACCTTAATCAATATTATACCCCCTCAAAGGGGTTTTGGGGTTTTGGGGTTTTGGGGTTTTTGGGG